TTTCAACCTCCCCAGCACTGGGAGTGTAGACGCGCACTACCACACGTGGTTTCATGGCATGCAGTACCAGGGATCGAACTGGGTCCTCGTGCTTGCCGGGCAGGTGCTTAGACTGCTGAGCTATCTCCTCAGAGATTTAGTGATTCTGATCCACGTTCTATGTATTATTAAACCTTGCTAATAGAGGTGAATGCTTTGTAATTTGAATAATAACCATTAATGTTTGCCCAGTATTTTTCAGTGTTTAATATTTGCTATAGGTTATATCTCTGTTATTTATTTGGTGCTGAAGATATTTATTTATTTATTTATTTAATTTTTTAAAATTTATTTATTTATTTTGGCGGAACTGGGGTTTGAACTCAGGTCCTTGCACTTGCCAGGGAAGCACTTATTCCACTGAGCCATCTCCCCCGCCCTGATATTTATTTATTTATTTATTTATTTTACGGAAGGGTCTACAGGGTGTTCAAGGTCTCACTACTAGATCAGATTCATAGTAATCCACCTGTTCTCAGCCTCCCAAAAGCTGGGATCACAGGTGTGCTCCACCACACCCAGTCTCAGTTGCTGTCTCATGGCGCCCTGAGTACAGGGCCAGCAAGGCAGGCCAGGGATCTAACCTACCCCTGCAACTGCATGCAGGTTTAATCCGCTGAGCTATTTGGTTTGCCCTGTACTGAAGATTTAACCTACAGCCTTCCATATGCTGAGTGCATGCTCTACCACTGAACTACTCTCTAAATATTTTAACCAAAGAAATGCAAAGAGAAGATGTGAATACTATTGTGAAAAATTACTGCTATAAAATGCAAAACTCGAGCCGGGGAGATGGCTCAGTGGAATAAACGCTTCCATGGCAAGCACAAGGACCTGAGTTCAATCCCCGGTTACACCAAAAAAAAAAAAAAAAAAAAAAAAGAATTTAAAAATGCAAAACTCATCTAAAATGTGAACTAACAAAAGTACATGAATTTCAATGGCAAAATCAAAATCAAAATAAGCAGACTAAATATTTTCAATGGTAAAATAGAAAATGAGTTTTTACAAAACAAAATGCGCTATAATGGCCCTGCCTTTTGGATATACACTTAGCAAACCAACTAATATCAATGCAAAATGAATACTTTTCTATGTGTGAAATATGAGTCATAAAATAAAGATCAACTCACTCAATATGGCAAGTAATGACTTATGTATTTAAAATTCTATTTTAAGAGTAATTTAAGGGGCCAGGGAGATGGTTCAGTAGAATAAGCGCTTGCCTGGCAAGCGCAAAAGTCTGAGTTCAAATCCCTGGTTCTGCAAAAAAAAAAAAAAAAAAAAAAAAAAAAAAAAAGAGTAATTTAAAAGCCAGGGAGGCTGGTACACACCTGTAAGCCTGGCACTCTGGGAAGCCGAGGCAGAGCAACCACAAGTTTAACCTTAGCCCAGCCAGTTTAGTAATTTAGTGAGATTCTGTCTCAGAATTAAAAAGAGCTGGGAATGCACTCAGCATATGGCAGGGTGTTGCATGAACACATCTGTGAGCACTAGGATGTCCTAGTGCCCAAGGTCAAATGTTGCTGCAGTTCTTGTACAGCATGTGTGGCCCGGGAGTCTAGCTGTTCCCTACCTAGTCACATCAGACTTCTCCCAGGACCCTTCTTGTTCCCATATTCCTGAGTCTGGAGTTCTACTGGAACTGCACTCCTTTCCTGGACATATTTTGGATAGAGGTTTCTTTTCTTTCACATCAGCTGCCTTTTACCTTTCAGAAAATGACTTGACTTCTGGCCTTCCAATAATAATGCTTATGGCTGGAATTTAAAAATTATACTCTCTCTCAGAGGTCTAAGGTAGAGGAGAAGGTATATCATGTGCTCAGTTTGCCACCTTGACGGGGCTCTCTGTACTCAGCACACTTACCATGGGCACATACCATGCTTCTGCTTTTACTTCTTATTGGTCGGAATTTCTAGATTCCCCAGGTTATTTTTATCATTTACTTGCTTGGTAATGTGCAGGTTCACAGTCTCTGGTACACAGGCCAAAAGTGATGTGCAGCCCTGTTACCCTGGGCCCTTGGACCACCTGCTGTGGGCTCCCTGTCTTACTCTTCCTACTTTCTAGATTATTTTTCCTGTGAGTCTGACAAATACACAGCCTCCAAGACTGGTCACAAAATATGAATTGTTTGGAAGTAGTAAACTTTACAGTAGTTAGTAAAAACAGGTTTAAATGCCTTCTCCCTTGGCAGATTAATCACTGTAAGTTCTAGTTTCCTTCTCTATAGCAGCCACAGGAATTAGCCCATAGTTGCAAGAGGGCTGTGAGGATTCTTTGCATAAGCAAATGGTGGTGAATGCTTTCTAGTCAGTAAAGAAATGTTAGCTGTGATCCTTATTACTGAACTCTAGTCCCTGGACTACAAAGACAAATGTAGTTTTCTTAGGCGTGTTAGCCTAGAATTCTTTAGTTCTTAGTAGAGCATGGTTAAGAAAAGTTACATTTAGGGAGTTCTTACTCCATACTGTGGACATCACAGCAGGAGAGGAAGAATGCCGTCAGCGGGAACACTTGTCTCCAGTGCTTGATCTTCTTTAGCTGAGCAGCAAACAAAGAGGATACAATATTCATAGGTTCTTGCTATACCACCAGATATGGCAAGAGACAACAAAAATATGGTGACCAAAATCACAAAAATGAAAATCACGTCTGTTGACCAAAGGCGGTAGCAACCCGTAACACACAGAGCAGACATTTACTGTCACACCTTGATGGTGGATGTCGAGGTCAAGGAGACATTATCTCCTCATCACTTACCTCTCAGTTGCTGGAGTCCCAGGTTCAGACTTTCAATGTTCCTCTCATAGTACTCAAGGTTCTCAAGGGTCTCTACCCTTACGGCGTCATCCTGGTTCTCCTCCAGCATCTGGCTCAGCTTTTCTTGAGCTCTGGTGCACACATCCAGATCCTGCTCCATTTCCTGAATCCTCACCAGGACTAAGGGACAGGGGGAGGTCTGACCCAGACTCTGCTCCACGTGCTCAGGGCCCTCCTTTTCTAGAGTCTTATAACAAGGATGGTGACAGGAAGAGGGGTTGGGAGAAGCTGCATTCACTCTTTGCTGTGCAGAAGGAGGCAGGGGAGCTGGGCGAGAAGGCCGCACAGGCAATGGGGGTGGAGGTTTGGGGCTCTGATCAACCAGCAAGTGGGGGGACATAGATGTTGGAGTACAGGGTCGGGGTGGTGGGGGTCTTAAGGCTTTTCTCCTCTCAGTTAGGTCCTGTGAAGGGATTACTTTTGAGGAACCTCGGATAATATCCTTTTCAGAGTTAAAGTCCATAATTGAAAACTGGCGTAAGATTTTATCCGGCTCTGTGGCAGACATGGACAGGCTCTTTTCAAATTCCATCAGCTGTTGTGTCAACTTGGAATCCAGGTCAATGCTGCCATCTCCTTGTGGAAGCACTGTTCCCGCCCTGCTGGGACCCTTGACTTGGGGACCAGGTTTTCTTTCGGATCTTGCTGATGTGCAGCAGAAGCTAGAGGCATTTTCTTTGCATGTGTGGTGCTTCTTAGCATACTTTGCTATGCCCTGGAACTGAGGATTCAACTGAGTGGGCCTGGTTACCCTCGAGGCTGTAAAGGAGGAGCCCCTGTGAATGGGGCCCTGGAGCTTCTTTAGGGAGCTCCGCTGGGCAAACGTTCCTCTGGGAGGCAGGGTAGAGTAGTCTCTAGTCCTGGCTTCTACAGGAAGAAGGTCAGAAAACTGTTCTAAGCTTTGATGGCTCCCTTCTGCTGTAGAATAATACTGATTTTTCTGAAATTTGGGATGAAAAGGTACCTGAGGTTGGGAAGAAACACCATTGACTGCCTCCAAATGATCAGTCATGTCATAGGCTTTAGGAAGAGGCTTTTCGAGCTCTGTACCAGGACTTCCAGGGAGCTCGCCTGAGGTAACTTCTTCTTGACTGGAGTTCTCATTTATATCATATTCAGGAGTCAGATGATTGAGGGGAGCAGCAGAGGTCTCAGGAAGAAGATAACTGGTCTTTTCTTCATTGTGTTCACAAGATTCATGTCCTGGTTCCTCCACTACTACAGAGCTCTCTGAAGCATCCCAAGAACTTTCTGGGGTTTTGGTAAAGCTACCTTCCTGGGACAGAGCTATGGCCTCTTCTGTCCTAGCATTGGGACATAACTTTACAAAGCGGTAAGGAAAGATGCCTGTTCTGCCCTTTAGGCATCCTTCTAGCCAACCATCTTCCAAGGTTGACAGAATTCGAATTTTGTCCCCCACTTCAAAATCCAACTCATTGGGTTCCAGAGCTTGGAATCTATAGAGGGCAATTCCATAGGCCCCAGACTGCTCAACCTCCTCCTCTGGCCCCTTCTCTTCTTCTCCTAGGGGGATATCCACGTCACCATTACCAACACAGTCATCTTGATTTGCCGAAGTTATTGGCGCATCCACAGTCCTGAGGGGCCCCAAAAGCTCTACAAAACCTTCTGGGAATATGCCTCTTCGACCTTCTAACTCCCCTTCAAACCAGCCTGGCTCAGGAACTCCAATAATGGTAATCACATCCCCCTCCCTGAAGTCCAATTCCTCATCCAGCTGAGCAGAAAGCCCCATGAGGGCTCGCGCTTGTCCCATGGAGTACTCAGGAATCTGAAGCAGTGCACTGTGTGAGTGCCACTGCTGGCTCTGGGAGGAGAGGCAGAGTTCTCGAACACACGAGGATGGGAAGAAGCCCCGGGAGCCCCAGCAGCTGCGGCCCTGCAGCCAGCCTGCAGTGGGAGTAGCATCACTGAGAATCACCAGGTCACCTGGAGAAAGAAAAACAAAGACGAGGACCTCAAGAATCAACCCAGCAGCATGTTACTATGACCAACGGTGCAATTCATCATTTTAAATATTCAATTCAAAGAAATACAACCGTAGGATTTTAAGACCATGAGTACCACAATAATTTAATGAATTGGAACATGTTCATAAACCTGTGGTTTTTTGCTTCTTGGCCTTTTGGCTAACATGTATAAATCAGTGATTCTCGAAGTGTGACCCATGGAACCCTGGGGTTCCTGAGATCCCTTCAGAGGATCGGAGAGGTCAAAATTTATTTTCATAACACTTTACAGTTTCCACTGTGTTGCCATTTACAATGATTATGTAAAAACAGTAGGGGGTAAAACTGCTGGCAATGTGTAAACCAAGACAGTGACAACAAATTACACAAATGGTCAATATACAATCCCATTCTTCACCCCCATGAAAAACAAAAACAGTTTTAGCTAGGAATGTCCTCGATGCAGCAATAAAACTCACCTGTTGCATCAAATTTCAACTCTTGAGGACATTTCCTTGTAATATTCTGTGCAACAATATGGGAATTATACCCAAAGTACTTTCACTGGTTGTCTCTTTATTTATTTATTTGTTTATTTTTATGTATTTAGTACAGGGCCTACAGGGTCGCACTACACAGATCAGGCTTGTAGTGATGCTCCTGTTTCCAGCCTCCCACGAGCTGGGATTACAGGTCTGTGCCACCACGCCCAGGCTCAGTTATCCCGGGGGAGGGGCTGGCACGACATGCCGGTGGTCAAACCCTGGTCCCTACGTCTGCCAAGCAGGCGCTTTTACCTGCTGCGCTATCTGGCCGGCCCTCACTGGTTGTCTTGAGGGAAAGCACTTGAGCCACTGAGCTATATACTTGAACTGACTGCCTTCTTTCTTTTCTTTTCTTTTTTTT